AATCTTTCAAGTCGTCTGTTAATCATTATCTTTCTCTTCACCTTTTCTCTTTATCTCTAATCATTATATTTCTCTATAAACTTCACCTTTTCTCTTCCAGTAACTTTCATCTCTAATAGTGGTTGCTTGTAGCCTTTTTGAAAATGAAGATGTTGAGGTGAAAAAAAAAAAGCCTTTTAAGAGTAAATCTTTGCAAAGTGCAAGACACGAGTTGTTATAAATGTTAAAAAATTATAATTTTTTTGTATAAAAAAAAATTTAAATAAAAAAAAACAAAGTTTAAATTTCAAACTGACTTTTTTCTTCTAAACTATATTTATTTTGGTCAGTTCATAAAAACCTCTTATCTGATGCCATGTTACAATATAAGTATTTTTTATAAAAAATTTCAATTTATAAATCCAAACTAATATTTTTTACAAAACAAGCATAAAACCATTTAATTTTAGCGTGGCTTGCAGCCAAATGCGCATTTTCTAACAGCTCTTTTACCATAACTTCAATAGGACTTAATATCTTGATATAAGTTTTATACTTTGGTGAGAAATAAACCAAATAAACCAAAAGCACATTTTTGACAAATGGAGATTTATAAGATCAACGATTTTTAAAGCCTGTTTACACCAAAAGATTTTGTTTTTATCTGTGACTGAAATAATTATTTTCTGATTTTTTTTTTATAGGGTGGGTGGGAAAATTTTTCAAAAATTAGTTCCTCTTCTTCTTATATTATGGACTTAAGAGTAAAAAACCTGATTCTTTTTTTTTTTTTTTTTTTTTTTTGTGTAACAACTGATTATTTTTGTAGTGCTTGAGATAGAATGTTAACTTGCTAACAGCTTGTTGACATGTTGCTTTATACTGCAACAATTGTTTTATTTTTATTAAAGCAGAATTTTAGTATTATACATTTGAATATAAATATCACATATTATAATACATAGTTAGTAATAGTAATTAATAAAATTAGTAAAAAAAGATTTATTTTTTTTTCTTTTTAAACATAGATATGCAGCACATAAAGATTTCTTTTCCTAAAATCCTTGGTGTGAAATACCTTGCCATATAATGATAAAATCAATGAAAAATAATCAAGTTCGCAAAGTTATTTATAAAAGAAAAGAGTTATCATTGTAAATAAAATGAAAAACGCAAAGTTTTAAAAGAAAAATATAAAATAATTGCATAATAAGCTGCAATATATTTTAAAAAGCGCAGTTGTTGCAAAATAAAATTATAATAAAAAAAATAAATGAGCCAATTGAAATGCAAATGTTTTTGATTAGATTGGACTAAATGATAAATATAAATTACTCTCTAAATTTTATTTATAATTATACATAAATATAAATTTTATTTTATGTGATAATCTATATATTTTATATATTATTTACTTTAATACATTAATCACTTTTATTGTGGAATTTTTAACTGTTGTAATAATTCTTAAAATGCCTGCATTCTATTATAAGAAAATATAAAACAGTTTTTATAAGCAGTAAAAACTTTAATAGTTCTTTGCTAAACTTTTTTTATCAAACAAGTTGTTAATAAATAAATAGCTAGTGTGAAAACTCAAAGTTAACAGTCATTTAAAGAGTTTTTTCCTGGCACAACAAATGCTTGTTATGTATATACTCTTATAACATTAACATTACAAACATATCCATGTAGCGAGTATAAAACCAAATTTTGTATTTAAGAGGCAATTTTTGCTTTTTCAAGAAGCTGTTTAGAAGAACAGCTAGCATGGCTCGCCATGTTTGTTTTAGGAGAGCTTTTCTCAACTTTCACACTCATTTACTCCTGACAATGCATATATGTATATATGCCTTATAAGACAAGTAGATATGCACAGTGGAGTACAAAAAAAATGCCACACTCAATTTTTTTATTAAAAAAAGTAACAAAAAATGCCTTAACTTCATACAATATAAGTAACATAAGAAAATATTGATAGAATGAATATGATATTATTGTATACTAGCTGTCATGACTCTTAAAATACAGATCTATGGGAGTTTATTTCACACTTACCTCTATTTTTATTCAGCTATTTATTCAGCTATTTATCCTCTATTTATCTATCGTCTAGTTCATCCTATATTTCTTAAATGTTTTTTGAATAAATGTTAGAAAAGTATTTCATTTAAACATTGCTCTTAGAGTAAAAAAAAAAAAAAAAAAAAATGTGCGCATGTTATTTGCATGCTTAAAACTCATTAGAACTCTTACCCTTTTATTTATTTTTAAAGAAAAAGTTTGAATGAAAACATCTTCCTACTTTAAAAAAGAAAATTGTCTTTTTTATGTCCAATATGCCCAGATTAACCTTATCGATTGCGCAAACACTTGATATAAGTATCTCTAACATAGATGGCAATTGTGTGACATCTCACGAAGTTTTATAAACTCAAAGCTTAGAAAATAAATTTCAATCCTTCATCAAGACTATATCAAATTTACAAAGCAAAAGAGGACCAGGAAAATGAGTCCCGGGAAGCTAGGTCATGTCAAATCCGTCCCTTAATACAAAAAATTTTCAATTTTTTAATCTGGCTGTATATATATATATAGCAAAAAAATTAATAAAAAAAAAACTTTTATTTTTTTAAATAAAGTTTTAAAGTTTTTGCTAGCTACAAGCTTTATTTTTTTTTTGCCTCTACAGCAGCACCTTCTGGAGTAGCAGGATGGGCTTGTTAATTTTTTTCTTAATTAAATTTCAGACCATAACTTTTTTCCAGACCATCTGCAGCTTATAAAGACTTATTACCAGAGCATATTAATATCATAACTACCTTTGACATATGTGCAACAAATTTCTATTATATATGCTATTTTGATGTTATTAGAAATTTTGTTTTTTTAAAAACTCTCTGCTTTTTGTTTGTTACAGTGTACAATGTTTAACTTGTTTCCCTGCATAGCAATATTAAAGACATATACAGTAAAAAAATCTAAATTAACAAAAGACAGCAAAGTTTTATCATGCATAATATGGAAACAATGAGGCAGAATTATTGCACTTGAGATATCAAAGGCTTTTAATAAAAATTGACATAACCTCAATATATTTTAAAAATTTATAAAATTATTGAACAACTTTTTTCTAATAATGGTAAAAATCTCCTTGATGGATTCTTCTTCATTTTCAGTAACCTCTGGGAACTAAAAGGTCCCATCCTTAGTTGCAAATTGTTTCTCATCAATAATTAATGATATTCTTGATAATATCACTTATAAGATAACTCTTTTTATTTACACAATAAAACAACTGATACTTCAGTCGAGTCAGGAAGTCATTTTTTTGAGTAGTTAGATAACCTTTTACTGGTGACCTCTTGTGGAAAATCATTAATTTTATTCATTGCAAAGTTAATGTCTGCTAAAACTCTTTATTCCATTATCATATTGATGCATACCATACTGATACAGCTATTTGAAGGCAGGGGCAATTTAATTTTTTTTTTTTTCACTATTCTTTTCTTTTTTCTTCAGTCATAAAAATGTCTGAATTCAAGTCAAAATGTTGAGATATAAAAAGTAAAGTAATCAACTTATACTACTTTATCACTGCTGAAAACACATTTAACACATATCATTTAACACACCACACATATCATTTAACACATCACACATATCATTTAACACACCACACATATCATTTAACACACCACACATATTGATTAAGTACCCTTTAGCAGGTGTTTTTAGCCAATTTTCTGAACTTAAATTAATGTCAAACTAAATAAACCATATGATGTTCAATTTTATTGAGTATCATATAACTTTTTTTTTCAATTTTTTTTTCTTAGAATAAACTAAATATACATTGGATTTAAACTTCTTGTTATAGCTTTATAATTTTTTTTCTTCTTTTTTTAACAAAATTTAAAAAGTTAGAAGTAATGTACATAGATATTTTAGAAAAAGTTAAATGAACCAAAGAGATATTTTGATTGTTCGAAAACCTTAAGATTAGTTATGAAGTTATCAATATTTTAAAAACAAGTTTTAAGAGGTATAGCAAGGTTTAAAACAAGTTTAAAGAGGTGATATAGCAAGGTTTAATTAATGAACCATGGCAAGGTTTATTTAGTAAACCATGGCAACTTTCATTTAATAAACTTTGCCACGTCAAAACTTTTAAAACTTATTTTATATTATAAATAGTTTTATCATATCAAATTATTTAAATTTGAAATTTGACTCTCATTGTTTTCAGTTCCTAATCAATAAACATTAGAAACCAGACCTCTATATTAAGTTAACTTTAAATTTTTTTAAATATATATTTAATATGAACTTTTTTCCCCATCATCTTAAAAAGGTTTTAACTTTGAATATTTATTTAAGAAAAACTACTTATTTGTCAAAAATGCCTAAAAATGGAAATTGGAACCTAAACAAAGTCATTAAATAACAAAAAACTTTCTTATAAGCAGCAAAAAATATCTTTCTAACAAGTCCTCAATAAGTTTTTTAAGAAATCTTAACCAATAGTTATATTTCAATTTTCAAAACTTTGCCTTTTGGGCCCAGTGTGTCTTAATGAAACACAAAATTGTTTCCTAATCTAAGTCTTTTAGCAAAAGATTTTAAATTTTGGTCCAATATTTTGTTATTTAAACTTAATTTACCATTGTGCTAAAACATTTTTATAAAAAATGCAACTTTTACAGAAAAAATATAAATAAGAAATAGGCATAATAAATTGAAAAAAAAAAATTTTTTTATCTAATATTATATAAAATCAGGTATTAAAAACAACAACAAAATCACTTGGTATTATAAAAGTCTGTTCTGACTGTAAATATTTATTTATACAAAATAAAATTAACACATTATAGTTTTATTGTACATATTCTAAGCCAAACCAATATAGTTATAATAAGCCAAACCATTATAGATTTATTGTACATATTCTAAGCCAAACCAATAGCAGCTGGTTAATTTTATAACAAAAACAAACAAGTAAACTTTTGTTAAAATCTAACCTATTATAAGTGCTTCCATGTACAACAATATATTCATTTTGAAATGATTCACAAAATAATAGATAAAGCTCTTGAGAAATATTTTCATTGACAAACAGTTCAACTTTACGAATCTAACAAAAAATAATAATAAATCTAAAACACTTTTTGAGTTTAAATATATTTTTTTATAAAAATGGTTTAAAGCATCAACTTCACCTTGATTTTAACAAAACACAGGCTTTCACAGGAAGGCATGCGATCGCACGTCTTTATATGACCACGCAAAAATAATATGTTTTAACAATTAGACCACGGCATAATTTCAAAATTTAAAAATGTGCTACAAAAACTTACCTAAACTTATCTGAAAAAAAAAATTGTAAAAAAAAAAAATTATAACGAAAGAGAAAATAAAAAAAATACTTAGTTTAGCAAAAACACAAATATATATATATATATATATATATATATATATATATATATATATATATATATATATATATATATATATATATAATATATATATATATATATATATAATATATATATATATATATATATATATATATATATATATATATATATATATATATATATATATATAACGCAACTAAAACAAAACTCATGCATTAAAAAACCATTTCAATTTTTGTTTTAACATTTGTATATATTTTTTATTTATTTAATATGTTCAAAAGCTAAACTTTTCTCATAAAAAATACATAGTTATATAAATAAAATAAAAAAACATTTTATTAAAATTTTTTTTTTAATTAATTAGAAGTGTTATTTTTACTTCATTAAAAGCGTTTCGATAATATAAAAGCATTTAAGATCAAACTTATTAAATTGAAACGGCTTTCTAAAACTTTTTTTTTTAACGAAATTTTGTTTGTCTTTTTAAATGCATTAACTTTAATCATTCTTATATTTAAATTCGTTAAAGAGACTTTCGTAGTCGTAGAATGTCATTGTTTATAAAAACAAAACAATTTTTTATTTTGTAATAAGGTTTATTTTAGAAATGAACACTTAAACAATTTATCAATTATATTTAAAAAACAAAACCTTTTTTCAGTAAATTGCTACTTTATTTAAAATTGTTTTGCTAATATAAAAACATTAAGAAATTTTGATGTAATTAATTTCACTCTTTTAGAATACTTTTTATCTAGCGCGTTTTTAAAATGTTTTTTGAATTAGCCACGATCAAACCGCCATAGCAAAATGTAACTTGTGGTCATATAAAGACGTGAAATCGCACGCCTTCCTGTGAAAGCCTGAAATATAGAAAAGAATCATTTTTTAAAAATGTTATTCACCTCTCCAACGCTGAGCAGGCCACTACAGTTGAGAGGGTACTTTTTTGTGAGGTTACAACCCTCTTTCAACTCTTTAACTATGAAACACAAACCTTGACGAAAAAGGCCGCTGTATAGAGAAACATATATAAATAAAACTGTTGATATACTTATATTAGAAGGAACAAAGCTAGATGACTCCTTTCCAATAAATCAAGTTTTATATCCAGGTTATAAAACGCCTTATCGGCTTGATATCTCTCAACATAGTGGAAGTCTTCTGGTATACATAAATGAAAATATCATTTCTAAAAGATTAGTTAAAAAGGATTTCCCCAGAGACATTCAAATTATTACTTTTAAAATTAAATTAAGAATGCGAAAATGGCTCATAATAGCCACTTATAAACCCCCAAATCAGAATTGTGACTATTTTTTCAATCACCTTAAAGGAGTGCTTGACTTTTATTTGCAATCATATTTTGTTTTTCTTCTAATAGGAGATTTTAATATACAACCTTCAGAAAAAAAAGAAGGAATTCCTTCAACTTTATTAATGTACTAATTTAATTAAACAACAGACTAGTTTTAAATCAGTCAATAACCCTTCCTGTATAGACCTTATCCTTAATAACAGAAAGCTGAGCTTCCAACATTTAAATACCTTAGGTACAGGTGTGAGTGATCATCACCATTTAATATACACCATGCTAAGATTCACTTTTTGTAAGTTACCACCTAAAAAACTTATAGATCCTTCAAAAATTTCTCAAGTGAGATTTTTGCAAAAATACTCCGTTTCAACTTAAAATCTTATGATATTGGTACTAAAATGAGATATTCTAATGAGATATTCAGCAATTCGCTTAATATTCATGCCCCTTGTAAATCAAAAATTCTATGAAGTAAAAATAAACCTTTTTTAAACTAAAGACTTACGAAAAGCAATTATGCTCCGCTCTTCTTTATATAAAAAATTTTTAGTTGATAAATCAGATTTTTCAGCTCTAATGTACAAAAAACAAAGGAATTTGGTGGTTAAGCTAAACCGTAAAAAATAAGAATAAGTACTTTGAGCAAATCAATACACTTTCGACTTCAAATACATCTCTCTGGAAGCTAACTAAGCCTTTCTTTTCGGACAAATCTACCATTTTTAATGAGCGTATCACTCTGACTGAAATTGGCAACATTATCTCAGACAGTTCTTTGTTGACTAATATTTTTAATAACTATTTCATAAATGTTGCATTGCCATCAAAATTGGTCCAACATATTAAATAGTCTTTTTCTTCTTGCACTTCAGACCAAGTTGAGTCAGCTATTAAAAAGTATGTTCTTGCACTTCAGACCAAGTTGAGTCAGCTACTAAAAAGTATGTTGACCATTCTAGCATAAGAAACATTAAAAATAAATTCAAAATGAATTACAAGTTCCATTGAATTACACATGATGATATTACAAAAATTATAGGGTCTATAATGAATAAAAATATAAAAAATAAAAATAAAAAAACAAGTGGTGAAATACGAACTTTTATGTTAAAATTTTAATTAATATACTTTAGGGATAGTCTTACAGATTGCAAACCTTCCCAGGAAACGTGTGTGGTTTTTCGTATTGTTGACCACACGCGAGTATCTTATTTTAGACAACTTGAACACTGCTGTTCACAAGTTTTATAATAATCAATACTGAATAAGTTTCAAAAAAAAAAAAAAACTAACAAAATAAAAAGAGATTAAAATAGAAAAAAATAAAAATACATTAATAGTTTAAATTATTTGTGTACTGTTTTTATTTTCCTTTTTTAAGAGTGGTTGTTACATTCAGCAACAAAATTAGGTAAGGTGAAGCAAAAAAAAAAAAAAACAGTTTGAAGTCTACAAATAAAAAGAATGATTTTCCTTTACTTAACTTTTTTTTTAAGAGGATAGCAAAAATATAAATTGCAATGTGTTTGTAAAATATATTTGTATAACTTTAATGTAACATTAATAATAATGTAATTACAAGGGTTGAATTAAGCGAATGCGAAACGTAAAACCTGGAAAAATGTCTAGTATTCAAAACTTTAGTTTATACAAAACCATGTACCTTGTTTTCAAAGGGCAAATTAACTTAAATTTGTAAGCGAAAAAATAAAAAATAAAACAATAAACTTACGATTACAAAAGTAATAACACTCTTGTCACTAACTGCATTACAAAAGTAATAACACTATAATAGTGTTATTACCTTTATAATGCACTTATAACTTTTAAAATTCCTTCTTTGTTCAAGCAACATAAGTAATCCCAAAATTTTAATTGAAGTAGAAAAATATCTAGAAGAATAAAGTGGATGTTCAAATAATATTTAAAACTTAAATAACTTATAAAAACGTGACAAACAACTTTATAAAAACGTAACGTATTAAAAGTTTAGCATTATGAAAAACGTTACTAATGGACTGTAAAAAACGCGCGTTAATTTTAAAATTAACCAATAAAAATTTTTTATTGGTTGATTTTAAAATTAACGCATGTTTTTACATAACATTTTTTCATAATGCTATACTATTATTATTGTTTTCTATTTAAGTTAACTTTAATCTCTAATGTAGTTTTTAACTTTAAAACTTTTTTCAGCAACGCATATAATAAAACTTGCGCAAATGGCCATGATCAAGTTGTCTAAATTTAAAAACATTTTCGTGGTCATATGAGACAAAAAACCGCGCGCCTTTCCTGGGAAGGCTTGGATTGTATCAATAATAGCATCTTAGATGGAACATTTCCGTCATTTCTAAAAATGGGGGATGTTTTACCGTGTCTTAAGAAAAATGACCCAACAGATAAGGTTAACTATTACTCTATAAGTATTCTACTTGCTCTCTCCAAAGTTTTTGAAATGATCATTTATGAACAGATTTTGTTATTTATGGAGCCAAAATTTGACAAACTTTTGTGTGGTTTTCGTAGAAGTTATAGTACTAAGCATACACTTATTTTTTTACTCAATAAATGGGATGAATGCATTAACAATGGAGGTATTGTTGGAATATTATTAATGGATCTATCTAAAGCATATGATTTCATTCCGCACGACCTACTTGATGCTAAATTAGAGGCGAATGGTTTCTCTAAAGAAAGCTTTAAATTTCTTATATTGTATATTAGTGGCCATAAACAAAGGCTAAGGAAATAAACAAAGGCTAATTGGGTTGATATTTTATCAGGAGTGCCTTAAGGTTTAAGGTTAAGCTTAAATATTTTGTTTTAATTAAAAAAATCAGTCTCAATAACTTTTTAAAACATTCTCTTTAATATGAAAAGAGCAAAAGTCTTTGCACATTAGGATCCCTTTAAACAATTTAGAAAAAAAAGCAATTAAATAATTTGGAAAAAAAAAATAGCAGAAAAATCATAGTTGAGAAAGTAATGAAAATAAAAATACTAAAATGTATAAGTTGAATAAAAATAAAAATTAAATAAAATAAAAATAAAAAATTTTTCTTTAATATAGATTGGGCTTTATAAGAATATATTAATGAGCCCTATGATTTATTACACAAGCAAAATTTATGCATATAAAACTAGGGCAAAATTTGATTACAAGACTATAATAACCCTGTGTCGATCAAGAAACAGTCAATATAAGAGCTACACTGACTAACCCTGTGTCAAAGATCAATAATAACCCTGACTATAATAACCCTGTGTCAATCAAGAAATCCATAAACTGATGTATCAAAACAAAAATGTATAATACCTTCTGCAATGGTTTCCACAAATCAAACAGCCACCAGTAGAGAAAATACCGATAACGTACAGATACCATAAGATCAACATCTGTAATCATTTCACAACGATAGGATACAAGATATCCACCATCTGCTGAAAATCCGAGAAATATGTGTCTAAAAAAACAAAATGGAAGTGACTAATAATAAACTGGAAATAAATCGATTTTTTTATTTTTTACTATAAGGTAAATAAATTACCTTATAGTGAAAAATGAAGTTATAATGCATTTAAACCAGGATCCAATATACAGCAAGATACACCTTTAACTAAGAAGTATCATGTCCACCATTATAAGTTAAAAAGTGAGTGATAGTTCAGCTGGATAGTCAAATTTATTCTCCACAAAGAAATAGATTGGCTTCAGAAACAAAAGAAATGTTTTTACATAACAATTTGTGTATTTACTATTATAACTTTTTACTTATATATATATATATATATATATATATATATATATAATATATATATATATATATATATATATATATATATATATATATATATATATATATATATACAATTATGGTAAAACATATATATACACATTATGGTAAAGGGTTTGGATATTTAGTTTGTGGTAGAAATCAGCTGTTAGATTGTTTGTGGTATTAAAGTTGACAAAACTAAGGATACAAGTCAAAACACATTAATTTAATTGCAGGAAGTAAATAAACGTTATTACAAATAATTTAGTAATAAAAAAATAAAAATAAAAATTTTCCAATTGTGCATTAAAAAAATATGCAAAAACTTTCTGACAACCTTGTATGTATATGTATATGTATATGTATATGTATATATATATATATATATATATATATATATATATATATATATATATATATATATATTATATATATTATATATATTATATATATCGTTTTATTAGTGTTGTATTAAAATAATACACAACTCTTGTTCGTTAAAATTTTTTATAAAATTTCGAGTTGTGTATTATTTTAATACAACACTACATAAAACGATATATATATATATATATATATATATATATATATATATATATATATATATATATATATATATATATATATATATATACACATACAAGGTTGTCAGAGAGTTTTTGCATATTTAGGTAACGTGAACATTTTTTATAAAGAGGATATAAAAGTATATCATGTTGCGTCTCGAAAGAAGTGAAACTTTATAAAAATTTTAAAAATAATAAAAATAATTTATGGAAACACAAGTTAAAAAAGTCAATTTAAAAAAAAACTTTAAAAACATGTACTTTTTTTTTTGTTAAAAATGATAGTTTTTGAGTCATAAATTTTAAACCATTTAGGGGGTGGCAGCAGATAATTTCAAAAAAAGTTGTTTTTAGTGGCACTCCAATATATATATATATATATATATATATATATATATATATATATATATATATATATATATATATATATATATATATATATATATATATATATATATATATATAAAACAATGTATTATAAATACATCTACGCCAGCCTATTAGAAGGAGTGTGAATTTAACCGTTAAAATTTATATGAATCACTCTAAATACTGATTTATAGACCTAAACGTTTAAAACAAAACTATTGAAAATTGATGAGTTGGTCCAAAAAAGTCAATAAATTTTTTAACATTATGATTTATGTAAAATCTAACGGTTAAATGGATTATGTAGATGTACTGTAGACTATCTTAAAACTTAATTGAAAACAAATAGAGACGAATTGACTGAGACCATTTTGAAATATGATTAATTTTGCTGATTTTTTAACACTTTTACTCCATTATTGATCAACTAAATTTTTAATAAGTTTCTTTAATAAGTTAACTTATTCTCTCCAAGAAACTATATAAACACTTAAATATAGTAGATTTCTTTTTATTTCTCAAAATCATCTTTTTTTATATAACTTCTTTATATAACTTAAAATATGAAAAAGTTCTATATCAAAATTAGTTTTTAAAACATTACCCATTATTAAAAACTTTTTCATTTTGTAGCAGTTTAAGCTTTATTAGATATTTAGTGCAAGGTGCCTCAAAATATTGAAACTTTTTGTTCGTTTTAGGATGCTGAACACCTCCATATAACTAAATAGAAAAAATAAAAATGATTTAATAATTTTAGCATACTGTGATTCTAAAATTATTAATAAATGAACAAACCTGGGCTCTATTTAGCTTCCATATCAAAGAATTTTGACAACTAGATACAGTTCTTTTTTTCATTTGGTTTCTCCATTAATTATCTCCATTATTCATTAGCATTAAATAATTTTATCATAAATTTCATCACCATAAATGTTATACAAAAGATAACAATAACTATTGATCTGTACAAATCTTCAAATTTAAAATTTAAAAAATTTAAAAGAAAATAAAGAATGCAATAAAACAAAAAATTTAAAAAGTCACATAACAATATAAAAAACATTTCAAGACAATCATTTTAAGTCAGTTATCTAAAACTTGTCATTCAAAAGTCAGTTTTATTAAAAGCTAAAATATAATTATCTAAGACACATTTTATGTTGTTACATCTTTAATAAAATTATTGATTATTAAGAAAAAATAAAGAAACTTTTAAATATTATTTATTTTCATCCAGAAAAAGAACAATAAAATTAAAAAAACTTTGACACAACAAAAATATTAGAATTTACAATTCATTTCTACAATGAAGTAAAAATTAACTTTTCTTGTTCTTGCTTTCGGTTTCTTTACAGAAAAAAAGCAATCAATTTATAAAATCTGAACAAAACCGATTATTTAAAAAACCAACAATTTCCATTTTATATGATGTAAAACTGTTTATTAAGATTTTTCTGTAGACAACTCCATTGAAAATTTTAACTGTTGTGTATGCTTAATCTAAACGCATTATTTAATATAATCCATCCTCCTCCTGAATTTTTCAAATGAAACATTTCAGAAAATGCATGTGGTGGATCATCATCAGTCTATAAAATATACAAATATAATATATAAGATAATAAAAACAAAAATATTTTACTAAAATGTCTGCTTTAAACCTTTAAGTGGCTTCTTTATAACATTACAACTTTATAAAAGTTAAATCTCTAGAACTAAGCATATAAAAATTGCTTTTAGGGGGTTGCACATTGAACATTTGATGGTTTCCTAATAATATATATGAAGTTTTTCATAGTTGAGTTGATTGGGGGTCTCAAAGTTCGATCCGAGTTCGATCCCCACCACGTCCCTGGTAGTACCGCGCTCAACTCGTTTCTCCGCGCAGCGGCCTTGTTCGTCAAGGAGTTTGTTCGCAGCGGCCTTGTTCGTGTTTTGGAGTTATAGAGTTAAGAGAGGGTTATAGCCACAAATAAGTAGCCTCCTCGTCTGTAGTGGCCTTCTCGGCCTTGAGGAGGTGAATTAAAATAATAAAAAAAAAAAAAAAAAGAACCAGAACTCTGTCCTTTAAGAACATTAAGCACTCTTATTGCAAAATACACTAACATATTTGACATATCAAACCTTGTTTTAAAGCGTTACGCATAGAGTGATTTAACTTTTAAATTATTCTGGAAGTGGTAAGATAAAAGAAGTAACTAATTTTAAAAAAAGTCACAATAATTCTTGAATGACATTTATGTAAAAATATTTGTAACAAAAGTTTGAATCGCAATTATGTTTGATATAAGCATTATTTACAAATGAAAAAAACTATAATAAAACATAATTTAATTCTAATAAAAATTATATGATTTAATTTAAAACTAATTTAATAAAAATATATAACTTTATTCTGATAAAATAAAATATAAAATTTAATTAAGATTTTAAAAATAATATAACTTTAATTTAAAAAATATATTTTAGTTTATTAAAATTAAAGTTAATGCTTGGGTTTAACTTAACTGTCAAATTTATTTAAAAATATTACTAAATATTATTCAATATTGAAATTTTATTTGTTCTTAAAAATAAAATTAGCTCATTTTTATTGCAATTGTCTTTTTGGTTTTCCTTCTTAAATAATTTTTTTTTTTCTTTTTTACTTAAAATTAAATTTTAAATTAAAAAGCGCAAAATGTAATTTAACCTCTTTTATTTTTATAACGCAAGTTAAATTGCAGCAACTATTTTTTAATAAACGATATATAAAACGATATAATTTTATTAATAAAATAATAAACTAATAAACTTTTAATATATAAAGTAAATAAATTAAATTAACTTTTTTATTTGTTATTCGCTAATTTTTTTTAAATAAAAAATAATTTGCAAAGTTGCAATTAAAAATTTAAAAAATAGTCGTTTTAAAAATTCAAAAATTTAACATATTTTAATTTATTTACACAAATGTCGAGAAAAGAAAGAAATTTGTTATATCAAACATTTTTAAAAATTAAATTTTAAATTTAATTATTTAATATTAAAAAAAATGAAAATAAACATTCTCTTATAGTAATAATAAAAATGGATTTAGCTCAGGTCACTAGGCTAAATCCATTTATACTTATGGTATAAATGGATCATTACTTTGTTAGATAAAAAACTTTCTGGAAAACCATAAATAAGAGTTGTTCAAGAAAAAAAGTAATAAACTAAGAGTTGGCACTTATTCACACTGGGTTTCCATTGAAATTGGAGCTCCCCAAGACTTTGTTCTTTTTGCAATACTTTTTATTATTTATGTCAACAATATCGTTGAAATAATCAAACCATTTTGGTATCATCAGCACTTTTCACTGATGATATTAAACCTTTCGTTCTGTTAAAAATACTCAATTCTTTACAAGAATTACAAAACCATATTGAAGCTCTTGTTCTATGGTCTCAAAAATGAATGAAATTTAACACTAATAAATGCTCTGTATTTAGAACACAACAACAAATCTCATACAAATCCCATACATACAAAGAGTATAAAATTGAGTTGTCAGCTAATAGAGCCACTTATGATTATCAGGAAGATCATTATTGTAGATAAGTAACAATACAGGAGCATAAAATAGAACCTTATGGTACTCTTTAAGTCATTGGAAATGAAGAAGTGTAGGCCTTTGGATTGACTTAAATACTGCGGTTAGAAAGAAATGATTTAATAATCTTTAAACTTTTATATAAAGAAACTGATATTAGAAAGAAGACTAATCAAAGAATAGTTAGAGAGGTTAGAGTGTTTTCAAGACTTTTTAAATATTAAAAACAATTATTTTTTACTTTTTATGTTAATTAACCTGCCTATGGTCATAAGAGTCACTACAGTCGAGGAGAATACTTTAATTAAGGTCACAACCTTCTTTCAACTCTCTAACTCTAAAACACGAACCTTGATAAACAAGGCCACTGTGCAGAGAAACAAGTTGAGTGTGGTATTACCAGGGACATGGTAGAGATCGAACTTGAAACTTCTTGCTTACAAATAGTTCACCACAACAGTACTGCAAAATATTAAGCATTTATTAATAGTTTAGCAAGAATTAAAAATAGTTCTGAAAAACACTTTTTGTAAGACTATGATAGAAATGTCTGAATCATAAGCAATAGAAGGTTTTAATTGAGAAACCTTTAGCACCAGAAGTAATAGTGGTTTGGATGTCTCACAATGAATTAATTTGTTTAACTGAATTTTAAATGAATTGAATTAGGCAGGAAAACTATGGTCAATAGACTTAAGAAACAAAGATCAAGAGAAAAAGTTCTTTGCAAATAACTCTGTCTTATACTGGGGAGAAGTAATAAGATCAGACCCATGACTAAACTGATATGACTTTAAATAAATGTTATCATGACGAATTCTCTCACTTTACCAACTCATAAAAAAATAATAGAAAATGGTTCAGAATAATCTGAATTTAAAAATTAGCAATAACTTAAAAGTTGATCTATAAATTTGTAATTTAAATATTTGTTTCAAAATTTTTTATTTGCTTAAAAAAAAAAAGAAATAAAAAAAAAATAACTTTGTACCTTTAACTGTCCATTAACGGTAATCAAAACACCATTATCTATAGTTGGTTGACCGTCAACTGTTGTTGGGATATGCTTTACAACTTTAAAAGGAAGCTCCTAACAAGATAAATATAGTACGCGTATGATTTTTTCAATAATAGAGATAACACCTTGATCTGCTTTGTGTTGGATACAAAGAAAAAATTTGCACTTTACAGGTACAGGTATTTAACTATAAGAACTATAAAAATTTGTATAATAAATAATTACCAATAACTTTTTCATTATTGCTTCAACTCCAATTTTCGTATCTCCTTCAAATTTCATTAATGAAGATTCATACTACATATTGTAAAAAAACAAAAAAATTAACAGATTTAATTTAATTTGATTACTTTTATAAATAACTTTTGATCAGTTTCACTTCCTCCCAAGAGAAGTGAAACTGAAGTGATCACTTCTCCCTTTAGGAGAGCGAACTATCAAAAGGCTCTATTATCAATATATGATTTTAGGAAACTTAAGAAGATTGCAATATGTTAAGAAAGTTGAAATATCTACAGAGTATATTGTAGAACTTAGAAGAAGTTTATTATTTGATAAACAATGATATTTAAGGAACAATATTACATCAGAGTAGGTTAATATTATAAAATTTTTAAACAGTAAATACTAAAATAAAATAAAGAATTGTTATTAAAAAAATTTATTTAAGTAACTTTTAAATTAAATACTTCAAGTAAAAGTATATTTAAACAGTTACTAAAATAAAATACAACTACTCAATAAAAAAAATGATTTTTAAAAAATTTCAATTATAATTTGAATTTTAAAATTAAGTAAAAATCTCTACTATGGATAGATCTTTTTATTTTAAATAGTTTTTTATTACAATATTTCAAGGTAGTATAGATACCTTTCTTATCAAGTATAATATAAATATAAAAAAAACCATTAAACAAAACAATAATTTATGTATATGTAATAAAACTAAAACAAAAATATATTATACATACATACATACATACATACATACATACATACATACATACATACATACATACTTACATACATACATACATACATACATACATACATACATACATACATACATACATACATACATACATACATACATACATACATACATACATACATATATACATACATACATACATACATACATATACATATATATATATATATATATATATATATATATATATATATATATATATATATATATATATATATATATATATATATATATATATATATATATATATATATATATATATATTTAGTATAATAATGTATATACTTTTTAAATTTTAACAATAATGTTTTTTAAACAATAAAATAGAAATATTATTTAGTTACCATAAAAACACGGTAAAACTTGTTTGTTTTTAGGGATGAAAACATAAACCGTGCTTGCCGCAGCATGGTGCCATTTTTAATACTAAGGAAATTTGTTGCTTTGACTAATAAGGTCAGTTTTTTATTGATATATATATATATATATATATATATATATATATATATATATATATATATATATATATATATATATATATATATATATATATATATATATAGACATATAAATAGACATAAATATATATACAAATGTGGGCCTTCCAATCAAAAAAAAATCCTGCATGTGCTTTTTGGAGCCAGCTCGCCCCTGCAAATAAAACAAAAATAGATGTTTTGACTAATTTCTAGTCATCTTTAGTTATATAGCAGTGGTGTACCCTCATTTTCTACAAAGGCAAATGAGATTTAAAAAAATGCCTGTTAGTAGCCCAGCAGGACTGTGTGTTTATTAATAAAACCATATTTTGATCTATGAAGATTTTATTCCATGAGATTATTTAAAATAAAACTTTAAAAAGCATTTTAAGTAGTATACACTTCGTTTAATATTGAGCACACTATGATGCGTTATATAACTTTACTAAACTTAATAAAAAGAATTGTTTTAATATTTTAAAGTGTTAAATATAACATACAATTTAATATTTCAAAGTGCGACTGTACTATTTTTTTAAATGTTATTTTTCAACTTAATTAAATTTGATTGAAGATTGAGAAAGAATTATAAAACAATTTTCTTTTTATAAAATGTTTTTTTGGTGGTTTTGGTTTTCAACTTTTTTGCTACATGTAATGAAAACTTTGTTAAGATTGACAAAAAGAAACCACAGAAAACAGGTTTTGACTAAGATAAAAATTACGATCTTTAAAAGTTGTATTTATAGTTATCTCTTTACCAATATCTCATTGTAATTAAAGTTTCTTGACAATTTTTTTTAACAGGTTAAAATAGTTCACTATTTTATTATTTAATATACTTTTAATTAAACTGTTTATTAGACCTGTTTTAGTATTCACACATTTTAATTTTTTGCCTTCATTATTTTCACCAGAGAAAAAATACCACAAAAAAAACTATTATACTGAACTACTTATCATAGCAGAGGACTTGAATAAGAAAAAAAACCTATTTCAGTCAACCAAAGAATAACCAGGAAATAACTGAAGGAACCAGGAAATAACTGAAGGGTGTTTACACTAGGGTGTTTCATTTCCCACAATTTTTTGAAAATGGTTATGCTGCATGCATAATGGAATAAATAATGGGCCAGAAAAAAGTCTGTAACTTTTTCAAAATTTTAAAATGTCATCTAGAGGTAGCCATCTTGAAAAAATAACTTTTTTTTTGACACTTTTTTTAACTTTAAATTTGAATAACTTAAAAAATAATAAATTTTATGTTATGTTACTGGATGTATATATCTAAGGTTATTAGATGAATTATTATTTATGAATTATTATTATATATATAGATGAAATATTATTATTAGATGAATTATTATTACTTGGTAAAATTTTCAGAAAAATTGGTTAATATTTTGAGGTCACCGTATTAAAATATAACGCTATAAAACCCTTATTTTTTAAATCTTAAAAAAATATATAATTAATATACAATTAGGCTATTTTTAGGCTTCAGCTTTCCATAAGAATAATAATTAATAAAGAAGATACTAGTAATATAAAAAAATCTATAGTAATAATTAGTTTTGATTTCAAATAGGATTTTGCATTAAGTGTTGTTGAACAACTTGCAAAATAAATTGTCGCTGTTCTTCATTTTGTGCACACTCACGGAAATCACAAATAAGTTTGATTTTTCTTTCGGCACAATCATTTGTTACATCTAATTGTTTAACAAAATTTTCTGTGAAGAACTTCCTATTTTGTGGATTGTTCCACTAAATAGGAAGTTCTTCACATCCTGGTTGTTTATTAGTCTTAATAAATCAAAAAGAAGCCATGGTCCAATTAAAAACTTAATTAAGGTTGAAGAAAATTTGTCCGAAAATTTGTTGGTTGAAGAAAAAGGTCGGAAATTTTGGTTTCCCAATTTAAAAAGCTTTTGGTCTTGGGGTAGAAAAAAGTTCCTTTGCCATTATTGTTCTGGTAAATTTCGACAATTTTTCATTAAATAAAATGAAATAACAAGCTCTTCTGTTAAATACCAAAGGTAATTAACAGAAGAGCTTAATTGACGAAATCACAGCGGTTACAATATCTGAATCTTCTTGATTCCAATTCATTGCAAAAAAAAATTTGAAGTCATCGACTGGAGCAAATACAGAAATCCTTGAGCAGAGAAATTGTATTGAATAAAAAAGTCTAATAAACTTAGTCATGCAGTGGATCATAATTTGCTCTTAATGAACATAATAAATTTATCAAATAAGATTTCCATTTTTAAAATATATATAAAATGTGACATAAATCTCGGATTATGAATTGCACCTGGTTTGTGAACTTTGAATACTCTGTCCATTGATAGTTTTTAGGGTAGATAATAGTTAATTCAATTAACTCAAGATAATCTTCTTGCAAAACTATTTTCTCTTTGAGGCATTTGTAAGCCCATTTCAGAACTAAACTTGCTTGATTAAATATTTTTGATTTAATGTCAGTAGGCCATACAAAAAAATTGAAGTTTGAGTGATATCAATTCTTGAAAATTCAGCTTTGAAACATTTAAAAATGCGTTCATCTAAACTCTTGCTATCTCCTCATAATGCAGTAAATGAATGTTTGATGTGTAGCTCATTATTATGATGGTGACATGCTAGCCATAGGAGAGGTCTCTATAATTCAATCTCAATTAAAGTTGCTTTTCCTTTTTCATTACCTGTGTTGCTTGTTGTTGTATCAAAGCATATACCAACAATGTTTTTTAAATTGCTCCAATCTTGCCCAAGTTTCACGGCTGCATCACATTGAATTTTATGTGTCAAATCTTTAATCAAAGGTACACAAATAAGTTTTGGCCTGCAAATAAAAGTTAAGTTAGTTTCTTTGAACACAAAAATAAAAAATATACATAGGATTTAATCGACAAAACAATATTCTCCTGCGCATATTGACAGTGCACAGTTGATACTGACATGGACATATCATTAACATCGGTCTGCTGATATTTTAAGTGAATTTATGCGGTAGTGGTGTAGTGGTAGAGCGCTCGCTTCATAAACGAGTGGTTCCGAGTTCGATCCCCACCACGTCCCTGGTAGTACCGCGCTCAACTCGTTTCTCCGCGCAGCGGCCTTGTTCGTCAAGGTTCGTGTTTCGGAGTTATAGAGTTGAGAGAGGGTTATAGCCACAAAATAAGTAGCCTCCTCGTTTGTAGTGGCCTTCTCGGCCTTGAGGAGGTGAAGTAAAATAAAAAAAAAAAAAAAAAAAAAAAAAAAATTTGTTATAGACATGTTTCTTTTCTTTGTTGGTAAAGGAGTAAACTATGTATCTTTTTAATCTTCTTCATCAGCACTTACAACTAATTCACTGACTTCAAAGGCACTAGATTTTTAATCTTCGTTTGATCTTTTTCGAAAATCCATGTTTAGTCTATTTTTTTGAAATTCTAAAAATTTTGGAACACCTAGATTGATGCTACCTGTCATGTGATACTTTCTGCTACTCTTTTGATCTTCATAAAATGCCTTCTTAAAATGATTTGATCTTCTTAAAATGTCTTCATAAAATTGCTTAAATCTTCTTCCAATTTTGGTCTACTTGATATTAATAACTGTTCATATGCATTTACTGCTGAAATGTCGCAAAATTGCTCAAGTTCATTACAAAATCTGACCATTTCTTTCATTTCCAGCTTTAAAATTTCAACTTACCTGATCAATTTTATTTATTTTCACATTTTCTTCCAACAATTTGGTAAGCAATGGAAGACAAGAGTTATCTGATCGAATTATTACTCGAAATTTGAGAAAAAGTACTATTAGTACTAGTACTTTTTATCA